TCAATTTGAACATAAAGATTTTGAGTTAGCCTCCAGCTTAAATCATTATTATTCGCAACAAAGCTAATGTGTTTGTAAGATTATGGATTAGTTCTACGAAGACATCTGTAAAATGTGACATAATTTGAAACTGGTACAAAATATTTTTATACGGTAACAAAGAAATATGAAATACAGACACTAGACACTGAACATGGTAATGCAACATTTATTTACTGAAAAAGAAACTATTCTAATAATGGTCATATATATAACTCTCTCAGCTAAAAATGTGTACATAGATTCTCGTTTCTGTTATTAGCTATTTCAAACTTCAAAGCAATTTTTGTTTTAAGGTACACCACTCGTAATTGGCACTATCAGGAATTATAAAATTGACAACATAGGACAGTTATATGCCTTTAAGGTCACCTGTATGCAAAATTTAAATAAAATTTACCGTGTGGTTTAGGAGTCATGGACATTTTTTTCTGAACTAGAAGGGTTGTTTTTTTCAGAAATGAGGAAACTTTAAATAGTTTATAATTTCATCATAATGAAAATGTTTTCCTATTGTCATTGTTAAGAAACAAATAATTACATTCAGGTACCAACTTACACGAGCAAAATGATTGTTTCTAAACAAAATGTTTTTAATATGTATAAAATGTTACCCTACCCCACCTACTTTAACACTTATTTGACCATTTTCCTGCACAAAAAACGTTATTCAAAATATTCCTACAATTTAACATAATGAGGGGTTGTTTTAAAAGTTTGCCTAGATTTTCTTAAAAATATATTTGTTGATCTTGCAAAATATAAAGTACTTTTACCGTGTAGTTTATTAAATATTAAACTTTGAAAATATCTGATATCATATTTGCTAATAGATTTGACATTATTTAGCAAGTAAATTCCTACAGTAATGATATACAATGAAATTAAAATCAAACACTTTTTTCTGTCATAAGGGATCTGAGAGATACATAAATAATGTTAAAAAGATAAAAATTAAGAAAAAAAGTTGCCCTTCTTGGGTTTGAACTCATGCCCCTAGGTTTCAATGCAGTTGACAAGTGAGTCTAGCCTATTTGAATATTCTTCAAAGTGGAGGTAACACATAAGCAATGTACTACCTTAATTTGTTTTCAAAATATGTATTTACTTATGTACTATGTATTAAAGACTTGAGCACCGTGATTTTACACAAATTATACTTGTTACTTGATTTATTAATGAACAATTAGCAAATGATAATTACAGGGAGTCTTGACCTTAGTTCCTTTTGTAAATACAAACAATGTTTGTGTGTTTTCATAAATATGAATAAAAATATTGTTCTTTGTCATAATTGAAACACAAAAGAAATAAAATAAAAAGAAATAAAACTTCCAAAAATGCAATTAAAATAAGTGTGCATATTTCCAACTATTGCAATAACCCGTTCCAATTTAAAATGTACGATGATATTGCCATATTCTTGTTCAATTTATTCTGAAGAAATGTAGGTCAATTTCAATTTGCTGTTACAATTTACTTATAACAACTAAATATATTATGCACTTATTATAGAGATATGTGATATACACCAGATAATCAATATATCATACGATTGCAAAGACAAGAAATATTAAAGAGATGCAACGTTTTCCTGCAAATAAATTTAGGCTTATAGTTTAAAATGATCTACGTTAATAATAAATATAAATTCATAAACATTAGAACGATAATGCTTATGATTGATTATTGCAATGAATAAATTGCATCCCACATACTTCAAATCTTCAGCAACATTTTAATATAATTTGATCATATAATGGAAAATTAAGAAACAGAGACAAAATTAAAATAGCGATAATTAAGAGCATTTAATGAGGTGTTTATTCTTTTAATATGACAGTTACGTACCATTATACTCGTTTTTAGGATTTATATTGTCGAGTCTATGTATAGAACAAATAGGAAATATAAAATCATGCATGCTCATAAATATAAATTATCTAAAAACAATATAAGATTACAAAGACATTAGTCATGTCAGTCTCTCTGAATATCTTCTGATGGTTGTACGTAATTATTTTGACCACTACAATACCGCTTTATCAAATCAAACCTTTTTCTCTGTGGTTGTAAATGTGGCTTATTAAATAAGACAAATACATGGACGCTCAAGAGATTTAAGCTCTCACGAGGAAAAACAATACATATATTTTCCAATATAAAAGGAATAATGTCTAGCAGTTATTGAGACGAATTCTGGACATTGGAAATCTAGATTTTCTTAACTTTACCATATTAATGCCTGTTTTTAAGATTCGTATTTACGTTTATAACCATTCAGTATCCATCAAATTAATGCATCAGCAACTTATTTCTTGATTATTTTGTGAAATTCTGATGTCTGCATCAAAAAGTGTTCCAACAAAAATATATAAAAGGCGATATTGAAAAGAAAAAAACAACAAAAAACAAATTATTTCACATCGGAAATACCGCCTCCGTGGTCGAGGGGTTAGAGTCGATGATAACTTTCTATCTTTTAAAAGACACAGTTGTCCTTTTGTTTGATTAAAATGCTGTCATAAAATTTCAACAAGATATTATCAACACCTAAACCTAATTGATTTCTAAAAATCATATTGCCATAATTCAAAAATACTTGGTTGTATTCTCTTGAGAAATAATTCATCAACGAAATGCTTAAATTAATTCTTCAAACCTTACAACAGTTCAGTTTTTATTAGATGGAATTGAAATGGATTTGAGGCAATGATGGTTTTAAAAGAGGTCGAGATTTTTTATACTTTAGTTCTTTCAGGAACATACCAATTCAAACCTACTTATTACTAAATATCATGAAACCAATCTTTCATTTCAAATGATTTTTTTGTTATATTTAGATTTAAAACTTTTATCAACCCATACACACATGTTACCTAAAATGCGAATTTCATTTACATCACTTGAATTCAATTAAGTTGAAGTTTAAAAAATGGCATGCCTCACTTTGAACGTTTTAAGAACTTTAATTGAAGACAAATCGATACTGAGGAAAAAGGAACTGATTTTTATGAAATGAATAATACCAAAATAAATGTAATTAAGTTAAAAACGAATCTGTAATAAGTTGATTTGATTATTTAGGCGTGTTTCTGTATTAGCACTTTTAATTTTGTGGTAAAATTTTTCATGCAACTAGATTTTGTTTTTGAATCATGAATTCATAACAAATTTTGAAATTTAAATGATATCAAAATACCACGTTCTATAATGGCTCAAATCTTGATGTGAAACTGAGTATAAAATATTTAATACAAAGTCAAAAATATGCAACCAATAATAATATTGTAAAACTATAATATATGTTGGTTTACTAATATTACCTTTTTTATTTTGGCACACAAGGTTTCAAATTAAGATTTAACGCGATAAAACAAATTAAGTTATGATGACATACTTTGATCACGTCATAAGTATACGACCATGACGGAAGGCGAAAAACTAAAATGTTATTAAATGTTGTGTTCATTTACAGATTTTAAAATCTTACACCTAAATAAGCAAATATAATGTGTTGGATAGTGGATATGTTAAAGTAAAAAGGACACAACTTGAACCATTAATTTGTTGTTTGAATTCATTAGTTTAAAACTGATTGAGCATAAGATAAATATCCTATATACGATATTATACCATTTCAAATATCAAATTGAATTTTGCTTTTTATGGATTCTGTTTTTCTCTATTTTATTTAATTTAAACATTTTTTTCGTGTTTGTAAATTTGATGTATTGAATTAGTTCGTGATACAGACGCTCTAGAGATTTAAGCTGTCGAAATAAGGAAAAATAGAGATGGATTTCCATTAAAGGAACAGCAATGTCTACCAATTACTGCGACAATCATTGATACGCTGGATTTTTTTCTTTTTTTCTGCAACTTTAAATCTGATATAGTTCACATATATTTTATGTCCATTAGTCTTACAATCAATTTCTTTTTAACAGAAACACAAATGTCATCATAGGTAAGTGTATTTCCTATCAGTTTATAAGTACATGAAATACAATGTAGTAGGAAAAAGTAGTAAAATGATAGTAAAAGCAAGCTCATTTGAATTGTTTACCGGGTAAGAAACTAAAGATTGGGAAATATTGATCTAGCCATTATTATTCAATACATATATATTTTTCTTCGACCCTTTCCCAGTAAGGACTATGTTTGCTTATAAACCGACATAGGCTGCAAGAATGTGATATAGATTCAGTCGACAGGAACGGCTCGACTTAAATGTTCCTTATATATAAATTAAGTATTGTTTTAAATCTATCCTGGATGCGTAATTTCTGGAAATCAATCACTGTCTTATTTGCATATATCAATAGCCTTGTCTTTCAAGCCAAAACTCTATATTTACTTATATCAAATACAAATAAAATCAGTTTCTTTCCTATACATGAATATTTCAAGGTTATTTTGACAAAACAACAACACTTTCGTCAGCGTTTCTCACATTTGTGTCCTAAAATCTAATTATTCTGCAACAATTACAAGCAAAATTCTCTGATTGGGCACAGCAAATAAGATTTTACTAATGGAAATTCTTATTTCTCACTTAGGATAGGTGTCGCTATGATACTTCTGTTTCTCGTAAACAGAGAAGCATTATTTTAGAAAAATTAGGAGCTTTTTTCAGTCGTTATTTCAGTTAATAAATGATATTCAAGAATTGAAATGAACTTTTGCCACTACATTCTGAATAACTGTGAGTTTCTTCTATTGCACGATACATTAAATGATTATCAGAAATATACATCGAATCAAAGGGAATTTTAAGCACAAAAAGAAATTAGCGAAAATATAAAAGATGGCTTTTTAAAATTAATTTGTTATCTTTGAATTGCTTATTCGTATAACCAGATGCTGTTAACTTTTTGTCATTAATTATTTACATTATAAAGTAATGAATATTTTCAGCAGGCATTTTGTATTGATATTTTACAGACATATTGAAACTCTCTCGCTATAGCAGTAACGAAATGCCCTTCTCTTGTAGTACGATACGCCAATATTGGACATTCTCGTGGCAGAATTGCTTGAGGTTACTTGTTTCTCATCACGAACTGTATCTATAAACATGTGAAAGTTGATGCAATGGATACAATATGGAAATTTGTGGTAAGTATTAGCATCTGACAAAGTGAACGTAGATTGTTTGTTATCGAATTTTCATCATTGCTTAAAAATAAGATTAGATTGTACAAATTATAAAGTCACAATTATTATGTTGTTCTGTAACATTAAACAACATTACAAATTGATAAATTTAAACGTATAAGCGATAAGAAATTATTTTGTTTTATTTAGGTTTAAAATAAATCTTTTTGATGAAGATATATCCAAAATAATAATATCAGGGTTATAATTTTTTCATTATATTTTGACATTCTATGTACATTACTGTTTTAATATTAATCGTGCAGGTTCAACAAGAGTTGATTTATTGAACCTAAACTAAACACCAAATATGCACTCTGCTTATAACAAATTCATTTAGATTTCAGTTTGTATGATAAAGAGTTTAAATTGTTTTTATTTACATTGATAAAGGTGTATTTATGGAATTTGCAACTTTACATAATGCTTGTGTTATTTTTGCTGCTATAAAGTAACTTAATAACAATAAATTCATTTTAAGTGTTTATAATTACTATATATTTTTATAAAATAAATGTATACATTTTATACGTAAAGTTTAAATTCTTACAATTATTAAATAACATTTTGTTTTGTTTTGAATGATTCTTAATATTGTGCTGAAACATATCTAACTTACAATTATGAAACTTACAAAATGTAATAAAAAATATGAATTTGTACATTGTGCGTGCACGTTAATTTTCTAGTTGAACGGGGAGCAGCGGCACAATGGTAAGGACGTCTTCTCGCAATCAAATGATAGCGAGTATGAATCCTACTTAGTCGGAACCCTATTTCCCATTTGGCACACGTACTAATTAGAGTATGAAAGCGAACACGAAAATGATTTATATAATGTGTAAGAACTTGTAAGACAATATTGTTTAACAACATATATTAAAGCTTAACTAATTTTAAACGTTAACATATACATGTAATAGCAAAAACTGTTATTACCTCTTTATTATAACTGCTCCCTATGCCTTCGCTAAATGTTATCTCAATAATATCTTTGTTAGAAAAAAAACGCAGGGTTACATATAAATAAATATATATTGATAAATCTTTTAGTAAATAACACAAAAGACATAGCTATTATCATCTTTTGTCTTATTTACCAGGAATACCAGAAGACAAATGCCATCTAGTAAGGAACAATCAATAAAACACACACAATGTGTCAAATTGTCCGTGGTCTCCGCTCATTAAATGTTCCATTAACAAGAAAAGGAAATTAACGATGACAGGGAAATCGCTATGTATAAGACATAGAAGAATTGCCGTTCTGTGAAAAGATTTTTTGTGTGCTTTATTTACTTATACTTAGAATTATTTAGCTAAGAATCATTTAAACAGACATTTAGAATTAAGGGTATTGAAATATATCATATTTCGTTTTATTGCTTTGTCGACGTCACCAATACAAAAATTAAATTGTTTGTAAAATTCTATCTTAAATAAGTATACATCTTCAGTCTGTTTTTAAAATACAGATCTTGATTTTTTTTTTATAAAAAACCTGTTTTTAGAAAGACTCGTTCTTTAAATTGATTTAAATTGTTGATTAAATATGCTCTTATTCTATAAAAATATATGTGGTCAATCGTTACTACAATTGCAGAAGCCAAAAAGGAATAAAGTCTTTTTTCTGATAAAATATAAAAAATACTGAAGGAAGGAAAATAAATAATTATAAAAAATAATAATTTACCACATCATACATGCCTTGCTTCTTTTGTATCATGGAAAGCTGTCAATTAATTTAATTGCAATAAAATAATTGCATTGTGGACAATAAAATATAACAATTTAATCTCTTCATATATTTTTCATTATTTTTTTTATGCAGAAAGAACCCAATGAATTACTTGTTTTCTATAATTGATTGACACAGAAATATAAGCTATAATACCGAAACTTGTTTCAAATCATATTTACAATTAATTTATTGCCCTTTTTTCAAAACGTTAGTAAATGTTAACGTCAGCTATGTTTTCAATGTTATCAAAATATTAATGCAATTTCGCGCGATAGATCGAAATTTATGTATCTTGCCCTCTTTCCTCCAAAGACATTTACTGTATAAGTGGATATTTATGTGTCACAAAAATTTTGCGAATGTCAAAAAGTGGACTTTTTAGCGTTCGGAAATATTTGCAAAAATTTAATTTCTTGAATTTTTACTGTTTTTTTCTGATATCATTTATAAAGCAGGTACATTTTAAGAATATGCCGTTATTTTAATCGTTCTATTCAGTTGTTTAGTACTTTATTATCTATATAATTGTTTGAAATACACATCGTTAGTTTGATAAAGGACCTGATCACACATTTCTTTGTCATATTTTGAAACATTCTTTGTTATATGAAACCTATAAAGTTATTAACACATATTGTTTTGTTAGCACATTTGTAATTTGTTAAGACCAAACTTAAACAACAAGCAATGACAAAAATTAATCTCAGTACCTGAACACTCAAATTTATTCATGGAAGATGCTGTATGAAAACTGTTTTCAAATGATAGAAGAAATGATCAAATATTTGCGAAAATTTCAATTCGCAAAAATCGCAAATATTTCCACGTCGCAAAATTTTCCACTTATACATAATTTTAGATTTGTAAAATCAATACAATTTCTACTAAAAAGGATTTGAATATTTTAGTTACTTAAATATCAATAGACCGATAAAAATATGAAATAATGTTTGTATTTTAGCGAATTATATTGGCACTGTTAATTTGTAATGGGTTCGTTGATGGACTAATAGGACTTCGTCCTGCGGACCAAGCACCGCACAGGGATCACACACAAAAGCCGTATGTACTATAATTTTTGAAACCAATTAAGATTTTCCTATAAATGTTATCAGATATTGTATATGCTCCTGAAATAGATAAAGATATACGGTACATTTTGTAGCTAAATTAAAGTAAATATACGATTTTTTAAGCATTTCTTTCATAATTGAAATTCAAGTAATATTTATGTAAAATAGATCTTTATAATTTTGATTAATTGGAGAATACACTTGAAATAATAACATACCTAGATAATTACTTTCTATGGAAATTAGTTGCATAACTTTTATATTATATTTTTTATAATATAGAATATTTAATCATCTTAGACGGTTAACAAAAAAGGATCTTTACAAATTATACCGTATCTTCACCTCGAATATTATATGAACGTATAATCGATTTAAGGACTCTAATATGTCTAGCCTGTGGTAATTTATATGATAAACAGTTAATTTCATACAATCATTTACGAAAATGAAAGACTGACAAACAGAATATAATTGAATGTCTTATGCTAACGATGTTGCAAAATGGAATAATTATGTACCGGTTGCAGGAAATTCTGCAAGGAGTATGCAAATTGACTGGATATATATTTTTTTCTATAACGATATTACGGTTATTTTTCCGATAATTTACATAATGATGATGTGGTTACCTATTACAGATTTTTTGTTGCTTATCCTACATTTTGAGAATTTTTCAATGCTTTGTAAAAGGAAAGTATGAGAAAATATGAAAAATGACATTTTTGCTTAATAAAAACACATAAAACATTTGCTGAATATTACGGAATATATCAAATAAAATATAAAAAATGTAAATATCTAAGATGCATAAAATATGTTAAACCAATAAAGCCAATATATACAAATCTAATGAAATGTTTTATAAAAATGTATTTTTGTCTTACAATTGCAGTCCTAAGCCAGTGTCTCTAAAGCCATCACAATTTCACCATACACAATTATATTCACCACATGATCTCCCTGAGAATATTCACAATGCAACAATTATAGAAACAGCAGCACAACCCAAGAGAGGTAAGAAAAAAATATAATACCATTAGAATCATGGTATATAATTTGTGTTATCTCAAAAGTATTATTTAAGTTATGAAAACTACAAATTCCCTTTTATTCTCAAAAGCTCTTTTTTCATTTTTATTACAAAAATATAACGGTCTAATTTACAAAGGAAGCGATTTGGATTTAGCCCACAATGCTTCATAAAAAATTTGAACTATGTTTCGTTTATTATGAAAAGTATTGTTCCAATACTCAATTGTTTGAAAATATCAATTATTGCTTCACATTCTCTTTGTAAATATTAGATAAACATGTTTTGACTTCACACAAAGTAGATACGTTCAAAACCCTACACACTATAGATGATCGCAATATTAATATATATTGCCAGAAAAAGAAAAGACCAACTTTACTTTACCTGTAATAGGGAAGGCAGCTACCTTTTTATAGTTATTCATTCTTTTATTCAAATTAGACATATTCATTAAGATTTTTTATAGATTTCAATAAATTTCTGTGATTAAAATATTTTACTCAAGGATGAGCAGAGTATATTTTTAAATATTTTCCGATGTGTTTTGAACTGCGATTATTTGCTTAATCAATAGTACCATAAAAGAAACTTACTTGCTTAGTACTGGTTGGTTCCAGGAACGGATTCGAGAGTGTTTCAATAAGCTTATAGCTTCCAACACAATCGAACTAAAATAAATTGGTATAAACTAAACTAATAGTACCATAAACCTGTAACACATAACGATTATTAGAATAATTACGTCTTAAAAATCAAAGTTATATTGTAAGTACGCCGTAACTTTTGAAAGAAGTATTTTATAAAAATGTTAAAACAGTAAAATTATGTCGTTGTATAACAATAATTTATATTTTCCAATTTCAATTGAATTTTAGATGGGTGTCAGACTGTTCCATTACTCCGATGTTCATCCCAACTTTTAAGACATTCCCTTTTAAATGACACAAACGTGTGCAGGGACATAGAGGTAACTTTAATCATCGCTGTTTAAAAATATATCAAGTTTACGAAAGGAATAGAAAAAATACAGGCGACAAAAAATAAAAAATAAAAAAAAAGAACAGATATGAAAAAAAGAGATTCGCTGGTATTAAATGATCAATCACAAATTTCTCAGTTATGCTTAATATACTTTATATAAAATGTCAATACTCAAATCGAACTGCAAAGGATGGAAATAGAAAGATAAGATTCACAGTAATCTTTTAAATGTGTATGCAGCAAGAGAAATTTGCGTTATTAAAAACATAAAATAAACGCATCGCCAAATAGAACATAATTTATTTTAACTAATTCTTATTATATTTTTCAAGCAATATACAAGATGCATATTGGCAGCTCTGGAAGAATATGGAAGGCGAGAATATGTTACTGGTCTAGTAATGCTTGATGACCTTCATTCTGCAGCAAAACACGCATTCCGATGCCATGGAAACGAGTCAGCTATTGCTCATTTGAGGCATAGAATTTCAAAACGTAAGTTTTGGGTATTTTTTCACTGCCATTTTTTTTTAAAAAGGGATTCAATAGACTACATCATTTTTATCATTTTATCGTTTTTCTTTGAAGTTTTATTCTCAAACTCAAAATACTTGACATTTCAATTAATTTCGTTATGTCGGAAAAAAGCTTATATATCTTATGTTATAATGTTTCTTTGAAACTGACTATAAATAAAGATTATCTTATCCTAACATTTGCTCTTGATATATTCATTTATTTTGTTCTTCTCTTGAAAGTTTCTTAATGATTTTCTACCCTGTAAGAACAATAAAGTAAACTCCAAAATTTCTTTCTTAACAAACTTTCATAAAAATGCATGCTTTTAGTTATTTTAATGTGTAACTTATAATGCTAACTTAAACTCAACACCTCGCCAATTCGATTCAACTTTAAAACAATTAAGTAATAGAAAGAACATCGAAACACGAGGCTATCTGATCAGTACGAGGGGGCGTAGCCCCCGAGTATAAATCAGATTGCCGAATGTTTTGATGTTCTTTCTCTTTTGTATCATAGACAGACATAAAAACACGTTTCCTATTATCACAATAGGAAACCCCAGAAAAAAGTAACCAATGAACGAGCATCTGAATATGATATTCTGTCGCTTTCCTTTTCTCTATCGTCACAATAAGTAAACCCCAGCAAAAATAAGCCAATCATAGGGCATACTCTAGAGTGCGGGTAACTAATACCTGCACACCAATTAACGCGCTGTGCATATAAGTATACGATTTTACTCTGACACTTTTCAACAGAAAGGTCACCAAACTATGATACATTATTAAGTTATATCAAATATACTGCCCAAATGTGTTTTGATATTTTTAACTTTAGTTTAACAATATAATTGCCTTTGAACAAATGTCATAACAAAATGATATATTAATATGTTGCAGCTTTTCAACACTATGATGTATATAAGTTCTGCATATATGGCGGTAATTCGAAACAGTAACAATACCTATATAATTAAAGACCATGGGAAATGAATCACAAGAATTATCGCATTTCCGATTTTTCAATTTGTTCGCAGAAATATTTATGTCTTTATATACTTGTATTTATTGACAGTGACGCAGGCTATTAAAGGACAATTTCAATTTTCTACAAGAAAACACAAAATATTGAACTCACACTCAGTGAAACTCTCGTTCAATTGTTTTTTTTCCATTACAACAACTATTTCAAATATGTGTTCGACAATAAATAGTTGAATAAAATCATAAAAGTCGCATACCTCTAGATAGATCAAACTATATTTTTGAAAATCAAACTTCAGACAAATATACTAAGATTTAAAGAAAAGCAGAAAGATTCAAGATTGAAGTAATAATTTATGTGCGATTTATGACTGGTTTTGCAGCATTTATCACCAAATTTCTATTGCATGACTAACGCAGTAAGAGGGTTTTTTTTGCATAATTTGACATCTCTTTTTGTAATTCACGCGGATTGCAATGTGTAAATAATTTCTTTGTTTACATCAAAAAGAATTTACGAAATCTTCCACGAAAAAAAAACATGAATCTGGAAGTATGCTGCTTTAATATAAAATTCATATTTTAATTTTGTAAAATATATTCCTTAAAATCCTCACGTGACATTCGTGAGATACCAATCCTATAACAAAGACTATAAATCTATATCCTATGGAATATTATTAAAAAAATATAAACCGTTAAATATGTTGTTTCCATAATGTTATGGTAAAATGTTGAACAAGTTGTAAGATAAAATGCCTTAAAGGATAAGCATCGTATATTAATGGAATATCATTATCCGGAACAAACATATTATTTTGCTATTTTAAGAAGGATTTTCACTATTTAGTGCAATTACCATTCTCGCTTATAAAATTATACAAACACATTTCTTTCATAAAGGTATTTTAGGATCTTGTTTTCAAAATCTATACAATATTTAATTCTCCACAGACATTAGATATAATAGCTTTAGACACTTTTAATATTCTTTATATTGCTTTGAAAAGAAAGAAGACATTATTGTATTTTTCAGGAAACGGAGGCACGTGCTGCACTGAAGGAATACTTAACTGTTCAATACAAACATTCTTTAAAATGTCAACAAACAAAAGAGAGACATGCAGTCTTGTGAACTATTATGATGTTTGTATGATGGAAGTTTCAGATACGTGCCATTCCAGATTGTTTACATCATCATATCCTACGTTTGTTTCTCAATTGAAAAGACATTGCAAAGAAGGTTCGGAGAGAAGAAAACGATCAGCAATATTCAAAAGCGTTTTCTCTACTTTGACTTGAAAAAAAAATCATTTGCTTTTGCTTGGTAATTTCGCACATTTGATACATAAAAATCATAAATTATTATACAAAATTGTATCATATAAATTGATTATCTGCAATACTTTTCAAGGAAGATACATAATATAATATAAAGTGGTGTTTCTGTAACATACTTTTTACCCTAACATTCAATCAGTGGATGCTTAATTTCTTCTTTGATATGCTCTATCAATCGATGTGTTTTTCATGTTCGTGCTCTCACTATATTTTGTTGTTGACATTTATGTTTAGCTTTTTAAAACTTCCACTGTGTTGTTTACGTAAGGGGGTACCTTAAAAGTTTCCATTTGAGTGTTAGCTAATTATTTATCAAGGTTGTTAAAATCAACTCACATATCTACCGTTTTATTTATAAAAATTAAAAGCTTGAAACCATTAAGAACTTTGTCTTACATGATAATGTTAGTGACGCCCTTATATCCTTTTTTCTGTCATTTTATGCTCTGTAATGGGAAAATAATTGAATATTGAACTTCATAATAAACTACTATTTTAACAGAACTTTATAATTTTTGATACATATTATTCTCTATGAATTAATTTTTTGTATTTTGTATGTATTCTTTTATTCTTTAGTAGGATATATATAAAAAAAAACAGGGATTTGAAATTGAAATAACTCTTAGGTTTATGAAGAGAAATTCAATAACAAAGTCCTACGTGTTTAAAACAAAACTTTGTATCTCAAATTATATTTGGTATCGACTTTATCATGCTGAGATAGATCATAATACTTGTAGCCTTTGCAAGCAACTTGGTACTATACCAGTAACATCACCATAAGATGTTAAGTTTATACCAATTTATTTGAATTCGATAGTGTTGGAATCTATAAGCTTATTGAAACACTCTTGAACCTGTTCCTGGAAACAACCAGTACCAAGCAATGAGAGTTTCTTGCTCATAGAAACAACGGCATGCCCTACCTCTTTTGATTACAATTGACGGACCAAGTTGGAGACTCTATGACGGACAGTTCTTAAAGCCCTTTGGGACTGATTTGCCTTAATGTTCGTCTTCTGTCTTGCTTCGTCGGGTCCTTGTTGGTGATTTTCTTGTTGCCCTGTCTTCTTTTAAGACATTAAGTACTTTTGTTATGGTCATTGGGTTTCTTTTATATGTTTCTACATGATCATTGTTTTGTTTGGGGTCCTCATTTGCTCCTTGTCGCTGGTTCTTGTTGCTTGGTCGTGTGGGGGTTGCGTTAATTGAACGCCGCCTTTCCTTGTTGGTTGATCTTGTTTATCATATTTTGAACCCACGCGGTCAGCAATCCTTAAATAACTAGTCCGACGCATTTACCGTGGCCACACCGCCATTGAAGTTGTTTGATAGTCACACTTTAACTCTCTTTTAATAACAAGTAAATAAGATAAAATTTAAATGATTAAGCAGTCAACAGTTTAGCAGACGCCAATTTCCCAAACGTAAAAGTCTTTTCGAAAATATAAAAAGTTTTTTTTTCTGATCTGAAAAAACATGTTGATTTAAGAAAAAAGATACTGTCAACGGAACTGAGAAAATTAATTATCTGAAAATCTTAGACTATTAATTTACATATAAATTGAAGAGTTATCTAATTTGCATGTCTAGATATTTCAGTTATGCAAACTGCACATATGGCAACTTGCACGACTGTGGAAATAATGGTTTCAAGCAACGAAGAGTCAGATAAATCAGATAAATGAAAGAGTTGCAAGCAATTTACTACTTCATTTGCATTCGGAAGAAAATAAAAATACAAACATTTCAACTAAATATTCAGTCGAGAAGGTCTCAGTTTATGAAGACTAACTGTGCAATAATTAAATAAATCAATTATGCTCGAAATATACGTTTCTAAAGTTACACATTTTTTCATATTTTAAGCGCTTTTACATAATCTCATTTTAATAACTATAAAGAAGTGAGAGAAAAAGTTAATAAAAACAAATTTTCTTTAATTATAAAATAAGATATATTCTTTTAGTCGATATACCTTACTTTTTTGATTTTACGTATTAATTATAGTTTACAATATATTATTATTTTATTAGTAACCACCGATAAAATACTAAAGGGAACTGATTTAGACTTCATATACTCACTTGTGAAGATAATAAGAGGTCACTATCAAAGGCCCGTGTCTCTAACATTGATTCAATAGAATTATGGCCATTCTTTGCTGTAGCCATCTTCTTTTTTTCTTTTACTAACTTTCTTATTGAACATGATTCACAAAACATGTTACAATCTCCAAGATATACAACATAGTCATTATTTTCGACAATTATATAAATGATATAAACCTAAATGAATGTCAAAGAATGTGTGGCTTTGTGCTGACGAAGCATTATTATAATAGTTCTAGGTTATAAGCTGATTGTCCCGCTGTGCTAGTAAAAACATCACAGCTTTAATCAGAAACTTATCATCACGATCTGCCAGCTCCCGTGGAAACAATTACGCACGTTATTACTTTCCTCAACAAATAAACTCTCTATATAGATACTGATTCCTAATTTGCCAAGAACAAATAGAATAACGAATACTTTATGTTGTTATTAGTCCTTGCATGTAAGCGTTGAAGGTATTTTAAATTTTAACTTTTGATCGATACACAAATATCATGTGTATTTTCTAACAACTTGCATTACTTAAAAGTGCATGTTTATATCAGTTAGGCATCAGACATAGTTTATGCAATATCAATCACACCAAGTCTGCAACATTTTCAATTTAACCATTTTGATCTTTAGGGTCTGCTTTTTCTCTATTTTGTGAATAATTTCTTATAAATTTATAAAAAAAATATGTTTGCAAACAATAACATTTTTTTTCAGAAAGCATCGAATACATATCTATCTTTCCTTGACAATATGACAAATGTACAAATGCTATTATGCTTATATATTTCAACAATACCATAACATGTAAAATTATATATTCCTTTATAAAGAACAACTGATAATGTATTATTTTTGGTAGATTATAAGCATGTGAATATACATGCTTATGCTGTAAATAAAACGTACAAGGAAAATTGATTGCATTGTAAAAGGCAAACGAAACAAAATAGTCATACATGCAGAAAACAAAACAAAACAAACTATTACCTTTTGTAACTTTCAGAAACAAACACCATGTTACATTGAATGTGCTGCATTAAACGATTTATTGACAGACTTATTAAACAATCGATTGAAGAAATGTAGTTAATATCAAATTTCAGTTGTCAAAGAGTTAATCTATATTAGGTAATTTCCTGCAGGTATACAATATTGAGCTGTTTCACGTGTTTCGACGGTGCTATAAATGAATATTTACCAATCATGCGTTGATGTTAAGAACTATTCTAAATAAATGAATGTGACTTTGTTAACCTTATCCTTTATATCACAGTTAATTTTAATCGATATACTGATACAATAAGTTGAAGGTTAACGTTATATTTGATTTTTATATTTGTGAACAGCTAAATATTTAAACAAATTGATGTTATAAGAATAATTGATAAAATGTATTATAAAGACTATCATATACTGTTACTCTTATTTCAGTGATGGGAGAATATTTAAACACAGTAATAAATTGTTTTAAATACAGCAAAGAAATGCATAGTACTTGATACAATAGTTTGCAACAGAAAAACATACATCCGTTTTCTACATCTTTACAAAGTATCATTTAATACAAAATTTAATGATAGATAAATAACACAGAACAATTTTTAACGTATATTTAAGCTTCAAGTCTCTCCGAGCTGTAGAATCGGAAATCCAAAGAAAAAAAATGTTCTACCGAGGAAATGGCTTTTTATTCTTCTCTGAGCAATCCATATACATCCATAAAACATATACAAAGCGCTTTTTTTTATTTTTGCATAAATCTTTGTTATATCATATGTTTCCTGTAACAAAGATCTGAAAAATAGATATATTAGTCTTGCCAAAATAAGTAAAACATTATTTCTATTTTGTGGTAAATGATGAATGAGCTGGTATATATTCAAACAGCAGTCTGAGATAATAATGAAAAGATGTAAACATAAAAGATTTTTTTCCCTTCAAATGAGTTAATAAGGAAGTTTGCCAGGCGTGATGAAAATAAGTATGAATTTTAAGGAATGATGCTTTAAGGCCTTTTGTGAAACCGGATGAGCTACTAAAATAAATTAAGACAATCATCTAAATATCGATATGATCTTCTTTTGTGAATTTATGGGGAAAATGATCTGCAACTGTTCAAGTCGTAATAATGAATATTAGTGGAATATAAGTGTTGAAACATAAGTTCCACTCAAGCCGGTGTTCGGGTCCTAGAGGGATGTTGCACTTTCTCATTATCCTTCATGTACAGAATCAATCAAACCCAACTTGAAATTTCAATGTAATTTTGTTGTGATTAATGATTCCAAGAGATAATCCTTCTATCAGTTTTTTATTACCCACATACTACAATTTAAATACAGTTTTATAAAATTGTCTATTGAAAAAATAAGTCAGACACATATTAAGAATTAATGAGACAATGATTTGCATTTTCCATTATTTCATGTATTTATTCCGTGCAATTTATGACAAAGAGCAAACCATAAATTGATTTATTGAATCGTGCCAATTAAGTAATTAGTTTGGTCTGCTTTGTTTACTACCACAGAAATTCTTTCACTTTGATTTCTCAAAATCCTTTTATTTTTAGCATTACTTTATATTTTCCAACAATTTACTCAATGGCCAATTACCTGATCTGTATTCTCCTTCTGCTATTTGGCAATTAGTACATTTATAGTGATTAGTATTTTGTATGGAAGTCAAAATGCTGTTTTGTCTAATTTTGCTTAATTTTGCGCTTTGTTAAGTCATATACATGTATATTTAAATATTTTTTTCATTTATATTGAAATAAGACTTGCTTGTTCACTATACTTAAAATACAGCAACAACAACAACGTTACCAACAAACAATATAAAGACCTTCCCACACACACACAATAAACAAACATACAAACAAAACAAGATATGTTTTAAATAAATGTTTGATATTATTATATTAGATTTTTTTTAATTTTCAAATTTCAAGATTAAATAATTTTCATGCTTTTTGCATCAAGTGCATGTGAATTTACAAGTTCATAAAAAACTACAAGTATGTGTATATGTTATATAACTCATTACTTACTCAGTATAATAAATATCAGCTACCAATAAAAAATAAATAAAAAAAACAGTAACAAAAGCTTAATATGGATACACGAAACGTTTTTCACACGATCCTAGAAATACTTGATATAATTATAAAAGTTTCTTTTGCAATCACAAAACGGATTTATTCTTATCATATATAATAATTTAAAAATAAATATGCAAACTATCGCTATTAAAAAACATACGTTCACGTCTGAAGCCATAAATTCACGATCATTTTCTGAAATTGAATTAGGAACAATTCGTTTACCAATTTATTTTGTTGACAGTCTCATAACTCCTTGGCAATTTAAGTTTCCGACGAAGCGATAA